GTTAGCCCGACTTTAACTAAACTATGACTAGTCTGAGGTTAGCCCGAATTTAACTAAACTATGACTAGTCTGACATTAGCCCGAATTTAACTAAACTATGACTAGTCTGAGGTTAGCCCGACTTTAACTAAACTATGACTAGTCTGAGGTTAGTCCGACTTTAACTAAACTATGACTAGTCTGACGTTAGCCCGACTTTAACTAAACTATGACTAGTCTGACGTTAGCCCGACTTTAACTAAACTATGACTAGTCTGAGGTTAGCCCGACTTTAACTAAACTATGACTAGTCTGAGGTTAGCCCGACTTTAACTAAACTATGACTAGTCTGAGGTTAGCCCGACTTTAACTAAACTATGACTAGTCTGACGTTAGCCCGAGTTTAACTAAACTATGACTAGTCTGACGTTAGCCCGACTTTAACTAAACTATGACTAGTCTGAGGTTAGCCTGAGCTTAACTAATCTATGACTAGTCTGAGGTTAGCCCGACTTTAATTAAACTATGACAAGTCTAAGGTTAATCCCAGTTTAACTAAACTATGACTCGTCTGAGGTTATCCTGAGTAAAACAAATACTTGACTAAACTAAACCAGACTAAAAGAAACCAGAACAAGCTGATCTAGTTTAAGCCGATCCAGAATTACCAAGCGTCTTGTTTGTTAGCAAACCTCTGAGGTCAAACCCTGGATTTGTGGATTAGGACCAATTAGACTAGATTAGTTAAACCATGTTTGGTTTGTTGGTTTGCAGGGAACCTACAGCAGTCCACTGAACATCCGTCAGACTTTCAAGGTGAGAACTGTTTCGTTTTGATGTGCTGGCTGTTTAACCAGCTCCTGACGGCCGTGACCTTTGACCCCAGATCTCAGAGAAGCAGTATTTTGCGACGATGTTGGCGGCGAGGGCGAAGCTGAAGGCGTGGGACAACGTGGAAGCTCTGTTCACCAGCAAGAACTGGCTCGGCATGACGAAAAAGAGATCTCCTCTTAGCTTCCAGCGCGTCGTCGACATTCTGCAGAAAAACTCAGCCCCCACGCAGGTGAGGGGGCGGGGCCAACTAGCAGCGTCACTGGTCAGACGGTGGGAGAAGGACTCACGCTGTCGTTGGTTCCTGACAGGTGCTGCAGGAGTACGTTGGACTCGTGGACGACGCAGAGCTGAGGATCAGTTTGGCTCAGAAACACAAATGTCACGACATCGTCATCAACGTGAGTCTCATCAATGTTCCTCTGACCGAGCTCCGATTGGCTGCCGAGTCCGAATCAGAGTCCGTCAAGGCTCTTTCTGCCGGTTTGTGATGTGTTCCCTCGTTCTGCACCACTCAGACCTACCGGGACATGAAGGACCGTCAGCTCTTGGTGGAATACCGTAAGAAGGTGGAACACGGCTCCGCAGAGGAGATCAAGATTGACATGCTGCTCAGCAACTCGGTGAGGAGGAGCTTAACTGTAAACATTATGCGACTCGTCTTTATTGGTTTTCTTCTTCTTTTGCAGCAAATCCGGTGGAAAAACTGATGCGCTAACGTGGCTTCAGAGACTTTTATTGTGAAAGTGAAGGGCCAGCTTCCTGTTTGAGACAGCCCGTGTATCGCAGCGTCAGCAGGAACAACTAGTCAGATTCACTCATCTGGCTAAAGAACAGTCGGTTTGACTCCGCCCACAGAGTAGAGAGAAGGCGGAGCTTCTTTTTCTGCTGAGTCGTCCTTCCTTCATTTGACTTTTGTTCACTCAAGAAAAAGAAAACGTTCAGAAAATATGAAAACTACTATGAACTACTGAGTTTGTGTGATGAGTTGTTAAAACATTTTATTTTACGTATTAACCTGAAACAGGTGATCAGTCGCTGGTCTTCAATAGAAAAACCTGAACTGAACCCAGAGACCGTGTTCATTTTTCCACTACGCAGAATACAAACTTTACCATCGTAAAATTAGAGGAAGAAACTGTTTAAATGTGATGAAATCACTTTTTATAATAAAAAGATTTTTAAATAAATGTGTGATTAATGGAGCATCGAAACAGTAGCAGAAAATACAGAAGGGAATCTGTCGGATCAATCGAAGTGTTTGTTAAAGTTTATTATTGATTTTAACACCTATTTGCTATATTTATCTGATAGATTCCAGTTTGTAAATGTAAATAATGAATCTTCATACACCAAAGTTAGTCATGGAGTTCCTCAAGGTTCAGTGCTTGGATCAATACTCTTTACCTTGTACATGCTTCCATTAGGTAAAGTTATTAAACAGCATGGGATAAATGTTCATTGTTATGCTGATGACACACAATTATATTTGTCCATTAAACCCAATGAATCCAATCAGCTACTTAGACTACAAGCATGTCTTAAACACATAAAAACCTGGATGACCCTTAATTTTCTCCTGTTGAACAGACAAGACTGAGGTTTTGGTTTTTGGACCTGAGCACCTTAGGAATGAATGTTTCAGTCTTTCTCCTCCTTAGATGCATTAATCTGTCCTCCAGCTCTAATGTTAAAAATCTTGGTGTTATTTTTGATCAGGACATGTCTTTTATCCCCCACATTAAAAACGTTACTAGAACCTCCTTCTTCCACCTGCGTAATATCACTAACATTAGAAACATCTGATCTAAAGATGATGCAGAAAAACTGCTCCATGCATTTGTCACGTCTAGACTGGACTATTGCAATGGTTTATTATCTGGGTGTCCAAATACTTCTTTAAAACGTCTTCAGTTGATCCAAAATGCTGCTGCCAGAGTCTTAACTGGAGTTACTGGGAGAGATCATCTCTCTCCAGTTTTAGCTTCTCTCCATTGGCTCCCTGTCAAATCCAGAACTGAATTCAAAATCTTACTTCTAACCTACAAAGCTCTCAACAACCTAGCTCCATCTTATATTACAGATCTTATTGTTCAAAACTTTCCTAACAGAGCACTTCACTCTCAGACTGCAGGTTTACTTGTGGTTCCTAGAGTTTACAAAAACAGAATGGGAGGAAGATCTATCAGTTCTCAGGCTCCTCTCTTGTGGAACCAACTTCCAGTTTCTGTCCATGAGACTGACACATTGTCCAGTTTAAGTCTTTCCTTTTTGATAAATCCTATAGTTAGGGTCAGCTTGTTATGCTGCTATAGACTCAGACTACTAGAGGACAAACTGACCTCATTTCCTTAAATGAATTGTTATAACTGAATAGTTTTCATTTGATACTATTTCTATCTTAACATGTGATTCTTGACCTGCCATTGTGTATCTATTCCTACCAAACCCAGCCGGTCGAAGCAGATGGTCCTCTTGTCCTGATCCTGGTTCTGCTAAAGGTTTCTTCCTCATGAGGGAGTTTTTCTTTCCACTGTCGCCTTCATGCTTGTTCAAGATGAGAGTTCAGTGATGGAGTTAAACTCAAAGCTGCTCCTCAGATAAATAATGTTCAATTATTATTTTATACATGAATGTTTCTGTTCAGTCCCTGAGACGACTTCTGATGTGACTTGGTGCTTTATAAATAAACTGAAATCAATTGACTTTACTGCTTATTACATTGATTGTTCAGCTGCTGAATCTGATTTTACTTTGGATCGATTTAAGAACGAGGATCTGTCGGTTGTTAATGAAGCTTTATCAAAAGCCATCCAGGAGAGATCAGAGTAGTTGTTGCATGTTTTTGATTTTTGTAATACTTCTGAGCTGGTAATGTGAAGTTCTATCTACTTTCTGGCTTCTGTATTCTTTTGGCTTATAAGGATTTATAAACTTTAACAAATTAGTGGTAATAGTGACTCGATCGAGCAGAATATAGTTTTATTGTATCATTTGTGACCAAGGATCCTACATGGGTTTTTTGTCGTGTAGTTCCGCGCTCGTGCCACCAGAGGGCGCGCTTTCTCTGCTGACTCGCTTTAAACTAATTCATAAACTTTAATAATTTATTGAATATGGTGAGCACGTTTTAATTTGTAGGATTTTGTTTATTTCAATGAATATCATCAGTATTTATCCTTTTTTAATTGCATCTCATATTAATTTGATTAGATTTATAAACTGGGATCGATCAGTCATTAAAAGCCCTAGGATCGACCAGAGTATCGATCCCAATTTAAACATGAGTTATGAATAAGTGATGCAGATGACGGGGGTCACGTGACCCGCGCTGCTTCTCTGCATCATTCAGCATGTGCGCGAGGACAGAGACGGACGAGGTGCGTGGCTGAGGTGAGTTTTTAACCAAAAACAGAGAAGACCTGAAATTTAAAACTAAATCAGAATTAAAAGTCAGCTGTTTATTTGCATCTCCGAAAATCTGTTAGCAAAATATCTCGCTAACCACTGAACGGATTTTAATGAAACTTTCAGGGAGTATTCACCTTATTTTTATCTTCAAGTAAACACATTCTGAAGTCAATTCAAGATGACCGCCAGAATAAATGGTTACAAAAACACCAAAATGGCTGTAAATTAATTAATTTGACCAATTTAGAGCTGTGATTTGTTGTGGTAGTAGCTGAGAGTCGTCCCCAACACATACTCAGAAGTGCTGCTTATCGACTGAAATCGTTGCTCTAAACTTTTGCTTTACCTGTCGGCATCAACCGTGTTAGCAAAATATTTAACTGGATGGATTTTATTAATAATAAAATAATCATTGAACGTTCCTCCACAACTGATTAACTTTTGTAATAAAACAATTCAAGATGGCCGCCAGAGCCAACTGACCTTAGAAAAAACCACTGAGCTATGTCAGGTCTCTGAATGAGTCCTGCGGCTCAGTGGGTTTAACTCATCTAAAGAAAGGTTGAATGAATATCTGGTGTGGTAGTAGCTGAGAGTTATTCCCAGCGCTGCGTATGAGACAGGCCTGTAAAGTTTTACACTCCAGCTGCAGTTCTCCAACATGTTTGTTCCGTTTTGTTGACATGTAAACACTTGTTTACGTGCAGGTCAAGACTAAAGCAAACAAAGAAGCAGCTGCAGCAGCTCGGGCCGAATGAATCCAGAATCATCCGATGGACACTTGGTTCCAGGGAACATCGTTTCCTGTGACAGAGAGGAGGTAAAACATCTCGAAACATCTGCTTCTGTTGCGTGAACGTGTCTCACGTTCCTGGACTCTGATCAGCTGTAAACCTCAGGTCCACTTCCTGTCAGAGTAAAAGCTCGCCACGCACGAGCAGGAAAACGAGGCGTTCTGACTTCAGACCAAAATCTGATGCGACGTTTCCACAGGAAGTGCGCCGATGACACGAACTGGCGTCAACAGTTTCTTTGGAACCAAGAAGCTGAACGACCGTTTGAACGATGAGGAACAGACTGGCGTTATAAAAACAGACGCAATAAAAAACGTTTTAGATCAGACACTTTAAAAGACGGGCAGCACGGTGGCGCAACTGGTAGAGCTGCTGCCTCTCAGCGAGCAGGTCCCTGGTTCAAACCCTCTCCGTGCATGCGTGGGTTTCCTCCGGGTGCTCCAGTTTCCTCCCACAGACCAAAAACATGCATGTTAGGCTGATTGGTAACTCTAAATTGTCCCTAGGTGAGAGAGAGAGAGAATGGTTGTTTGTCTCGTTTGTCTCTATGTGGCCCTGTGATGGACTGGAGACCCGTCCAGGGTGTCCCCCGCCCCTCGCACTGTGATTGCTGGACATGGGCACCAGCGACCCCCGTGACCCAAAATGGAATAAACGGGTAAAGATAATAGATGGATGGAAACTTTAAAAGTCCGAGCAGCTTTCAGACTCACGAGACAAATAAAGAAAACGTCTTCAGTCACTACACACGAAACACGTCCCCCACCTCCAGATTTACTATAAGAGGTTGTACAATGGGTGTTTCCTGTCTCCGTTTATCAGAGTCAGAAAATGGTGCATTGAAGAAGAGGAACTTCTCAAAAGAGGAAGTCTCGACTAACGTGCCGTCGGATGCTTCATCTTCCACCAGAACGGAAACATCTCGCAACGAGTCCTGAGAAATTCAACTACTTGCTTAAAAAAAAAAAAAACGAGGCCGACCCCTTTGATGCATGTTTGTGCACAGAAGGCGATGGTGAGAGTCATGAGGTCCAGAGACCTGAGTCTGAGGGGGAACCAGCAGGTCCAGAACCTCCACAGAAGGCGATGGTCCTGCTGCTGCAAAATAAAACCATTACGAACACATTTATTCACCATAAATTAATTAAAATTAATTTTTTAAATGCCTTATTGCTCAAAGTTTTAAATAAAGATCAGTTGCTCTGAGCGCATGTTGGAGATGACTGTCAGCTACCACCACACCAAACTACAGCATAATATTTGTAATAAATCCCTTTGTCTGCTCGATAAGATTGATTAGCTGTTCTTTTCATTGACGTTTAAAACGTTTAAGAACATGCAGGCTATAATGTCTTCAAGACACAACAAAGTGGCCTAATTTATTTTTTAGTGGCATATAAAACACTCTCGTCAGCAGAGCAGTGAAAAAAGGCCCCATGCTTTCTGAGGACTGGGCCCAAAGGAAGCAGGTAAAAAAGTTAAAGGGAGAAAAGCAAGGGGACCTAAAATAGAGCCCTGTGGAACTCTGTTTTAAGTAAACAGTCATTGTTGATGAGCCAGTTAAAATTAAGGTAATGCAGAAAATATTTATTCTTCTTTCAGCTGCTCCCTTCTTCAGGGCTCACCACAGTGAACTATCACACAAAGACTTGGCAGTTGTTTCGGATGCACTTCCTGACACAGCTGCTCGAGGGCGCAGGGTGGGACAAGTGAGCATGGAGGCAGGTGTGGCTGCTTCACCTTTCCCACCCATATTTTTAATGTTGTCGGTCCAGGGGGTTGAACCGGTGACGTTCTGATCACAAGCCCACCTTCTCTGGCCTCTGCACCACCACTCCCAAAGTTTTAAAAGTTCAGATAATTAGGGTAAATGCAACTAAAGAATAAAAACAAAAATCTAAACTAAGATATTAAAATCAATTATTTATTTAAGCTAAAAAAAAAAGAAAAAATTTACGCAGAAAAAAGTTTATGATAAAAAGTAAAAACTTAAAAAATACTTTAAAAAATATGAAAAAAGTTTCAGATGTTTTACGTTTTTCCTTCTTTTTCCTTACAGACACTCATCCTTGCATCTGATTGGAAGTTCCACCCTGCAGACACTCATCCTTGAATCTGATTGGACGTTCCACCCTGCAGACACTCATCCTCAAGTCTGATTGGTCGTTCCACTCTGCAGACACTCATCCTTGAATCTGATTGGACGTTCTACCCTGCAGACACTCATCCTTGAGTCTGATTGGTCGTTCCACTCTGCAGACACTCATCCTTGAATCTGATTGGACGTTCCACCCTGCAGACACTCATCCTTGAATCTGATTGGACGTTCTACCCTGCAGACACTCATCCTTGAATCTGATTGGTCGTTCCACTCTGCAGACACTCATCCTTGAATCTGATTGGACGTTCTACCCTGCAGACACTCATCCTTGAGTCTGATTGGACGTTCCACTCTGCAGACACTCATGCTTGAATCTGATTGGACGTTTCAACCCTGCAGACACTCATCCTTGAGTCTGATTGGACGTTCCACCCTGCAGACACTCATGCTCGAGTCTGATTGGTCGTTCCACTCTGCAGACACTCATCCTTGAATCTGATTGGACGTTCCACCCTGCAGACACTCATCCTCGAGTCTGATTGGTCGTTCCACCCTGCAGACACTCATCCTTGAATCTGATTGGACGTTCCACCCTGCAGACACTCATCCTCAAGTCTGATTGGTCGTTCCACTCTGCAGACACTCATCCTTGAATCTGATTGGACGTTCTACCCTGCAGACACTCATCCTTGAGTCTGATTGGATGTTCTACCCTGCAGACACTCATCCTCGAGTCTGATTGGTCGTTCCACTCTGCAGACACTCATCCTTGAATCTGATTGGACGTTCCACTCTACAGACACTCATCCTTGAATCTGATTGGACGTTCTACCCTGCAGACACTCATCCTTGGGTCTGATTGGACGTTCTACCCTGCAGACACTCATCCTCGAGTCTGATTGGTCGTTCCACTCTGCAGACACTCATCCTTGAATCTGATTGGACGTTCTACCCTGCAGACACTCATCCTTGAGTCTGATTGGACGTTCCACCCTGCAGACACTCATCCTTGAGTCTGATCAGTCATCATGACGCCTGGCACTGATGCAGTGCCGCTCAACGTGAGCTCAGCCAGCTGCGACCTGCCATACATCGAGGGCCACCTGCCATTGATGGTTCTGTACATCACCGTTCTGATTGTTGGTCTTCCTGCCAACCTACTTACGGTTTTCCTCACCTGGCAGCAGGTGCAAAGGAAGAATGTGTTGGGCATTTATCTATGGAGTCTGTCGATGTGTGACCTGACCTACCTGTGTACGCTGCCATTGTGGACGGACTATGTCAGCAGAGGCCACATCTGGCATTGGAGTTCTGCCGCCTGCAAACTGACAGGCTACATCTTCTTCACCAACATGTACGTCAGCATCTTCCTGCTCTGCTGCGTCTCCTGCGACCGCTACGTAGCAGTGGTGTACAGTCTGGAGGCGCGCGGCCTGAGGCGACAGCGCTACGCCGTGGTCCTCACTGTCGTCATAGTTCTGGTGGTGGCCACTGGTCACAGCGCCGTCTTCATCATGAAGGAGGGTGCCGCTGCAGAAGGTTCAGGCCGCTGCTTCGAGCCGAGTCTCAGCAGCGCCACGGTGATGAGCTTGAGCTATGCTCGCTTCGTCATCGGTTTCCTGCTTCCTCTGCTGCTGCTGGTGTTGACGAACCGCAGCGTCCTGGCCAAAGTGCAGAGCAGCACGGGACTGCAGCCTGGACAGAAGCGGCGCATCCGATGGCTGGCAGCAGCTGTGGTACTGCTGTTCCTGGTCTGCTTCGCCCCATACCACCTGATCCTGCTGGCCCGTGCCATCAGCTTCCAGTTACCCTCGATTAAAGGGGATCCCTGTTTCTTCGAGAGGACTCTGTACACCCCCTACACCGTCTCTCTTGGCCTGTCTACCATCAACAGCGCCATCAACCCCATTCTCTATGTCTTGTCCAGCAACAACATCCGCAAGGAACTGTACCAAGGATTAACACAGGTCTGCAGCTGGGCACCTTCCAACAGCAGCCAGAACCATATCCAGCCATCAGACAAGTCCTTAGAGCCGTTTTCTGGGACAGATACAGAGAGACAAGCCCCGGTCCAGACCTGAAAGACCAGCCAAATATTGGTCTTCAATGGACCATCCAGAGACAGACAAGCAGCCGAAACACCGGTACAGACTTGACAGACTGGCCAAACGCTGACCTGTAATGGACTACTGAATCCAGAATCTGATCTCTGGTGTTGGACTGAAAGGTCTGCTGCTTCCCAACAGCCTTCAAGTGTTTGATGAGCATCCTGGGAGCAGGACCAGGTTCAGGTCCAGGATGAAGACGAACACTTACCCTCAGTGAAAGTCGAGGATGGGTGCACAGGTAGAACAAACTGAACTGTCAATCAGAACTGGTATTTATAAAGATTTGTTGTTTTTTATATATATATATATATATATACATAAGTGAAGAATATTCAGTGCCGCAATAAAACATAAGAATAAGGAACTCAGTAATGTTTGTTTTTCTGGCTCAATGTTTGAAATGTTTGAAACATTTTAAATCCTGAACATTGCCAACTGACACTTCCAGATCAAATATAAAATGAGGGGAAATTAACTGTACTGAGCAAAAGCTTTTATTCTTTTACATTTTCCTTCCAAGCAGCCATATTTTATTGTCATCTAATAAAGTGCTCGTCAACAGTCCTCCACACTTTCAAAGCTGTTTTTTGAACTTTACTGCTTCGTTCAGCTTCAGTTCTTGTATAGACTATTTTCAGAAGAATTATTACCAACTGACCAAAAAAATATTCAGGTGTAAAGACTAAACTCAAGGGATGAGCTGGTGCTTTATTGAAAGATTACCAGAGAATGGGTCTCTACGCTCTTAGTTACTGTTCCAAAGACATCGTTTGGTCCCATTTCTTTAGCTGAATTTACAGCAGAAGTCCAAAGATAACACCTGGACACAGAGGAAACAGGATTTATAGCCAACAAGGTAATTCCCTCAGGTAAACCAGCCATTGGAAGAGCACTTTGTGTGATTCTGGTGCTGATCCAAAGCCAAATCAAACAAGGTTGGCATCAGGATGGTCATCAGACACATGCCAAAACTAAAATGAAGATCTATAACTACTCTGTGGGATGATACGACTGTCGTACTGGTCCATATGGGACCTGAGTTAACAACTGTCTCCGGTGCGGTTAACCAGTGGGCTGCCGGAGGAAACTGGACTTTGAGGCAGAGGATTCTGGGCGACCACTGGATCATGAGCAGCCGGCAGAAAAAGAAAGTAAAGTTTCAGGGTTCCGAGTCAAGTTCAACAGATTTTTTAAATCCCTTTTTCTTAAATCTGTGACTTTTAGACACTTCATATTCTGCAGGCAGTGAGGGCAGCACTGTGGCGCAGGGGGCAGAGCTGGTGTCTCAGCGAGAAAGGTGCCGGATCGATTCTTGACCTGGAACCTTTCTGGGTGGAGTTTGCATGTTCTCTCCATGCATGTGTGGGATTTCTCTGGGTCCTCCAGTTTCTTCACAGACTAAAAACATCGTCTCTGAATTGTCCCTGGGTGTGGGTACGAGTCTGAACGGTCTCAATTGTGTCTCCATGATGGACAGGAGACCTGTCCAGAGTGTACACCGTCCCTCAGCGACTACTGGACACAGAAACTAGTGACTCCCATGACCATAAAAGGAAGAAGGAATGGATGAATGGATGTATAATGGATGATGGATGGATGAATAGATTTATGGATGGATGGATGGATGAATTCATGGATGGATGAATGGATGGATCTATGGATGGATGGATTTATGGATGGAAGAATGGGTGGCTGTATGGATGAATGGATTTATGGATGGATGGAGTAATGGATGGATGAATGGATGGATTTATGGATGGATCGATGAATGGATTTATGGATGGATGGAGTAATGGATGGATGAATGGATGGATTTATGGATGGATGGATTTATGGATGGAAGAATGGGTGGCTGTATGGATGAATGGATTTATGGATGGATGGAGTAATGGATGGAAGAATGGGTGGCTGTATGGATGAATGGATTTATGGATGGATGGATTTATGGATGATGAATTTATGGATGGATGGATTTATGGATGCATGAATATTTGTATGAATGGATTTATGGATGGATGAATGGATGACTGGATGAATTTATGGATGGATGGATTTATGGATGGATTAATTTATGGATGCATGAATATTTGTATGAATGGATTTATGGATGGATGAATTTATGGATGGATTTATGGATGTTGGATGGATTTATGGATGGATGGATTTACAGATGGATTTATGGATGGATGAATTTATGGATGGATTTATGGATGGACGAATGGATGACTGGATGAATGGATGACTGGATGAATTTATGGATGATGAATTTATGGATGGATGGATTTATGGATGGATTAATTTATGGATGCATGAATATTTGTATGAATGGATTTATGGATGGATGGATTTATGGATGGATGAATGGATGGTTGGATGGATTTACGGATGGATGGATAGCTCTGTTTGCTGGAAGCCAGCCCGTGAACTGGCTGGTTGGATACTGACGTTTCTCCGGGAGTTCTTTGTGTTGGCGCAGCCATCTTGAAATGTGTGAGTAGTTTATTTCACCTCCTGAGATCAGCTGCAGGGAAACGGCTCCAACGACAGCTTAGAGAAGAGGGTGATGGTATTATAACTCGGGATTAAGAATGTGCAACGTCAGAAAAATGTGCAAACTTAAGAGGAGCTGCAGGGGTTATAAAAAATAAATTTGAAATGTCAAAGACCTTCGAGGTGACTAATCATCAGGTCGCTGAGAGCTCCTGCTGATCCCAGATCAGACTGCAGGGACTTCCTGCTATAGAGACCAAGATCAGAACTCACGCTCCCTCTTGTAAGGCGGTTACCATGGCAACCAAGCAGAAGCTTTCACCCGAGCGTCCGGCAGCTTTTCATGGACGTCCATCACTCAGCAGGACCAGATTCATGATGTGATTTCAGCCTGCGGGGTTTACCTGAGAACATCATGGTCCATCATCTGAGACAGAGTTCTGGTTCTGTCCCGAACAAATGAACACACACACTTGTGAACACACACACACGCACACACACACACACACACTTCCTGATGATGCAGTTGTGAGGACGTGCTTTTTGACTCGTATTTCCAATGAGCTGAAGAGAAAGCGAGATTAAAAGGCTTGTAACTTCTCAACTCGGAGATGTGTGTGTGCATGTGTGTGCATGTGTGTATACGTGTGTGTGTGCATGTGTGTGTGCACAAACAGGAAGTTTCAGAAGAAATAAAAGTGTGAGATGACAAACGTAAATGAGGAGGTCATAAATCTAATCAGACTGCAAACATGAGAAAAACAAACCACAAAAATTGTCTCCCACGGGGTTATTCTTTCAAATCTTATCATGAGGTTGAACAAACTATTTATTTATTAACTTTATTTATTAACTTTATTGAACCAGACAAATCCCACTGAGATCACAGATCTTTTGCAAGGGAGGTCTGGACCTGAAGGCAGACTAACGTGCATGTTTTTGATCTGTGGGAGGAAACTGGAGTATCAGGAGAAAACCCACACAGAAGGAGAAGAACATGCAAACTCCACCCAGAAAGACCCCAGGTCCAACCGGGGATTGAACCCAGGACCTTCTTGCTGTGAGGCAACAGTGCTAACCACTGAGCCGCCGTGCTGCCAAGTTTTTCAGTTTCTATTTAGAAATCTCAAATGTTTCAAAGTTCACACTGTTAGTGGGTTCTTAGGTTCTTGCAGAAAGTTGTTGGGAACTCTTACCCAGCCCGGTCTGCTCCGATTGGCTGAACTGTCTCTCTGCACATCGACGGAC